AGTTGCTGCTGCTGCTGCAGCATCAACTGCTGATGCTGTAGCAGCAGCAGCTGCTGCTGCTGTATATGTTGCTGCTGCTGCTGCTGCTGACTGAGTGGCCGATTCAGCAGCACGCAGTGCTGAGCCTTAAAGCAGGAGTTGCCACGTAGGCCCGGCAGCGGCAGCAGCGGGTGCTGCTGTTGCTGCTGCTGTTGCTGCTGCTGCTGCTGTTGCTGCTGCTGCTGCTGCTGCTGCTGCTGCTGCGCATGCAAGCTAGAGTGCCACGTCTGCAGCCCCGGGCTGCCGGGCGGGTGGCAGAGGGTCCAGTGGGCCCCAGCAGATTGAGATGTGCTGCGGAGGGGCCCCCTCTCGCTGCTGCTGCTGCTGCTGCTGCTGTTGCTGCTGTTGCTGTGTATCCATTGAGGGGCCCCTGAACCCGCCCCCAATAGGGGCCCCCTCCTCCCTCGCGGGGAGCTGGGGGCCCCTTGTGCTGTAACCACCGACGGGTGTGCAGACGCTGCTGCAGCAGCAGCAGCAGCAGCAGCATCAACAGCAGCAGCAGCAGCAATCAAGCTGCTGCTGCTAGCGATGATGCGCCGCCCTCCTGCATGCTGACAGCCTGCTGCAAGGGCCCCCAAACCCATAGCTGCAGCAGAGTTCAGGTACACCTGCTGCTGCTCGGGCGAGCTGCTGCTGCTGGAGCTGCTGCTGCTGCTGCTGCTGCTGCTGCTGCTGCTTCTCCTGCTGCTGCTGCTGCTGCTGCTGCCATCGGAGGACCCAAAAACAACGGAATGAGCTGCGGGGGCCCCTTCGGGTTTGCCGTCAGCGGGGGGCCCCTCAGAGGGGGGAGGGGCCCCTGCAGCTGCTGAGCGGCTATTGTTGTTGCTGCTGCTGCTGCTGCTGCTGTTGTTGCTGCAGGTCCTGCTGCTGCAGCCAGTGAAGGTCCTGGGGGGAAGGCGCCTGCAGCAGCAGCTTCTGCTGCGGCTCCTGCTGCAGTTGTTGCTGCAGTTGCTGCTGCAGTCAGCAGCAGCCTCCTTGCAGCAGGGCCCATACCTCTCTGTTGCTGCAGCAGCAGCAGCAGCAGTAAAAAAGAAAGATGAGGCAGCAGCAGATTCAGCAGTAAGCTCACTACGCATTGTCTCTATAGGGTGGCGGCGCAGTAAGGGCCTCAGGGGGGCCCCCCACTCAAATGACTGGGGGGCCCCCCAATCTATACCCTGCATTTCCGCTGGGGGCCCCTCTGGGGGCCCCTCGGGGGGCCCCTCTGGGGCCCCCCCCATTGTATGCACCCGGGACAGCGCGGGCGAGGAGGGGACCTTCAGGAGGCCCCCCCCCAACCGGGGGCTTGCTGGGGGGCCCCCTACGGTCCAAGGTAGGGGGCCTAAGGGGCCCCCTATCGTGCCCCCCGCTACGGGGGGGCCCCCTACGGGGGCCCCCACTACGGGGCCCCCCACTACGGGGGCCCCTACGGGGGCCCCCACTACGGGGGCCCCTACGGGGGCCCCCACTACGGGGCCCACTACGGGGCCCTCTACGGGGGCCCCCCCAAGGGGGGCCCCGTTCGTCGTGAGAGCATCGTCTATTGACATAGAACGAGAGGAGTCGCATGCACGGCAGTAGGGGGCCCCCAGAAAAGGGGTGAGGGGGTGGTAGCTGCTGTCTATACAGCTGCGGCGAGAGTCTAGCTGCTGCAGCAGCAAGGCGAGGGGGGGCCCCTTCAACTCTGTACCCCCAGCTGCTGCTGCTGTGCTGTAGCCCCCAGATAAAGAACAGCTGCATACACACAAAGCATAGAAAGAATAAATATATTTATATAAATAGTTTTAATATAATAAATATTTTTTTTTATTATAAAGTTATTATATTATTATAATAATAAAACAAGAATAACAATAATAATAATATTATTATAAGA